AAAAAAAAATGCAGTCATTATTTTGTCAAAATACATTGAGATAGATTTAAGGTACTATTTACCCTACAGCCCTGTCTCCTTGAACTGAAGAAGCCAATTCCTCCTGCAGTTGTTTACCTTTGTTTTGAAAAGCTATGCATTGTATATCTATATGTGGAGAGACAGTAGCAGGTAAAGAAATGTTTACACAGACAATCTACATAGACATTCTCTCAAATTGTATGGAGGCACTGTTTGCTCTTCTGTAGTTGTGTAAAACTGCACTGCACCTCCGAGATGACGATCCCAGTACACATGCTCGAACCACTTAGAGGAATGTCTTTTATTTTCAAAATGCCCAGTATAACTCAGGAAAGCGGGAGACGACATGATTAGGAATAAATAAGCAAGTACAGCACCAAATAAGCAGCAGCCCCCGGTGTAGAAAAAAAAAAAAAAAAAAAAAAAAAAAAAAAAAAAAAAAAAAAAAAAAAAAAAAAAAAAAAACACAGACAAACTTAATTCTCTACCTTCCGCAGAATCCTTTCCCAAATTAACTGAGAGTCTGCGTGAGTTCTTCTTTTCAAGGCAAAATAGATCTCAGGTTAGTAATCAAAGACAAATCCCTCCAGTGCTTAGAGAGTTAAGTTAGTTATGTTTCTTTTGTAGCTTCCCAGGAAAAAAGAGAGAGAGAGAGAGAGAGAAAGGAGAAAAGCCCCACCGTGTCTGCGGGGAGCCTTTGGATCGCTCGCGTCCTCGCTCGCTGGCTCTGTCTGCCCTGCCAGTTTCCACCCCCGTGCCCCGCGCCTCTGCAGCCTGCCTACCTGCCCGGCTCCCTCGCTGCGCGCAGCTCCGGCCGCCTCCCTCCTGATTGGGCAGAGGCCCCCCAATCGGCTGCGCGGCTGGGCCGGTGGGACTGCATATGTAAAGCCCTGCTTCATATTAATAAGCTCCAATCGGGGCTTTAAGTCCTTGATTAGGAGAGTGTGAGAGCTTTGGTCCCAACTGGCTGTGCCTATAGGCTTGTCACTAGGAGAACATCGGTGTTAATTGCACTGTGCTCTGTCAAGGAAACTTTGATTTATAGCTGGGGTGCACAAATAATGGTTGCCGGTCGCACATGGATTCGGTAGAACTTTGCCTCCCTGAGTCTTTTTCCCTGCACTACGAGGAAGAGTAGGTACCTTTTTCTTTCCTTTTTAAACTCGTCGCGGGGGTGCGTGTGTGAGGTGGACAGAATGTGTCTTTGCACACTGATTCAGGTAATGTCCTGGGTACTTTGTGTGCACGAGTGCTTGTTTGTGTCTGTCTTGTGCCTTTTGTGTTGAGGGGGATCTGCTAATTCAGTAAGTCGAGAATTGTTCTCTGACTACAATGTTACCTTTGAGGCAAAGCTCAGTGACTGTCAGTAAAACAGCTGTGTGACAGTCACTTCTTATTCAGGTGCTAAGAATAGGCACTTGGCACAAATGCTTAGTGAACTGTTAAAATGCATCTTTTACTAGGACCCATTTTCCCAAGGAAAGATGTTTTAAAATACAATATTCAAAATGATTTATACTATTGAGTGCCTCTTACGTATTTGCAGTTTGACAGATATTTTCAGCTCCCTGTCATTTCTTACTGCTCAGAGTTAGAGGTAAAATTGCACATTTACTAATTCTCCTTCAGAGAACAATTTTAAAACTAGCCCTGTGCAATTCAGGGCTAGAATAATGTTATTTGCATGGTTAGCGTTAAGTCAGCACTTAACTGACAAATCAGTCCATTAAGTAACATGAGATTTTACACATTATAAATATTTAAGGGGTAGAAAAACAAAAGAAGAAAGAGTAGTGACTTTTAAAATTTCTCCTTAAATAGACAATGCTCAGATTGTGGGTTTGTTTTATGTGTCATGTCCAGATAATATAGAAAAGTACTTTCATTCTTACATGCAGTTTAATTCATATTTATGAATATCTTTATGCACATGGAAATATATATTTAGATCACTAAAGGTGGGAGGGAGGGGGGTAGGAGAATTAAATTAGGCATTCTTGTGTAGATGAGTAGGTCATAAACTTAATTTCAACCCACTGTTAAGATAAAATATTAGTATACCACAGCAACTGTCACTGGTTTATCTCTCTTTCTGTTGAGTCAGTTATATTGCTTTGCTTTCACATTACAGTAATACCAACTGTTATAATTCTGAAAAGAGTGCTCTTGGCAAACATTTCTCTCTATAGATTGTGAAGAAAATATAAAACTCTAGAAGATGAGCTAGTGCATTATAGGTAGATGTCCACTAGCTGTCCTTAGTGACTGCATATTGCATTGCTTTGTAATTAAGTAAGAGATGAAAAGTGACTTGCAGTGTCACTGGCTCGTGTATGTTTGAGTGTGAGCATGTGTGTGTACAAGCACACTTGCACATGCACACAGACCTACATCCACATTCACACAGAGATATTAGCAAAGAGATGGATTTGGGAGGAACTGAAAGATGGTAAGGCTGCGCTTGCATCAGTTTGAAACACTCAAAGGAAGCAACAACCTTAAAATGTGTGAAAATAAAAATGAAAAATAAACAAAGGTAGGACTGCCCACTCAAGTGTAGTTTGAAGGTTAGTGCACCTGGGGCTGTAGAATTGGAGAGTTTAAAATGTCTTCATGTCAGAAAGAATGCCTTATCCAAGCTCACCCAGATTCTAAACTTTCTCTCGCAAATAAATAAACAAAACAAACTTTAAAAAACTCCCCAGGCTGCTTTTTAAAGTAGTTTTCTTGAATTTAACTTCTTATAGCTAATTTGAATAATTAGTTTAGATAAGCCTCTTAAAGCAGATGCATTTAAATGAAATCAAGGCACATGTCCTTTTGGCTTTGGCGCAAGATTCAAACTAGCTTTCTTTTTGGCTCAATTAAAAGTCATCTTTTAAAAATACGGATTTATTGTCTGGATGCAGTTCTGATGGTTACGTGGTTCACTGGACAGACAGAAAGATCTAATACTAAGCAACGCATCTGCCTCTCTGTCTCAATTAATAAACCACAGAATTTATACATGCTATTAATATTCATAGTAATTGTACTGGGTTAAACCCCATCACGTGCGTGTATGCATAGAAATGAAACGAGAGTTATGCAGTTTCAGAGGAAAATATTGGACAATTTCTGCTTTGGAGGCTGTTAAAAAGATTCATACAATTTATTGACCACCATTAAGGGAGCCTAAAATGTTAACCTCTAACTATGTATTTTGTATTTTAGGAAATGTGCCAGCACATTAAAGAGCATAATACTTGAAAGCTTTTTTCACATTTAACAGCAGTAATAGCTGATAGCATAAATAGATGAAAATAATATATCTGCTCATTTTGACATATGTGTCAGTCTAATCATTCTAAATGAGTGTGCTCGTCACATGAATCCCTTTCAACCTCTGATTAAAATGTAACATTGACTACAGGATTATAGAGCGGACTTAATTTTACTGACTGTTTTAACAGTTGTCACAGCTGTTGGAAGAGGGAAAGGCAATTGAAACACTCCAAAACAGACAAGGAAAGGAGAGAACAGTTAAGTAAATTTCAGCCTGGTCGTTGAAATCCAGACATTGAAAATTTAGCAGTTTTGTGTCTTAAGATTCCAATTAGGAGCTATGCAAGTGTTATTTTGCATGGTCTACTCTTTCTGTTCAGGGTTTTGATATGTTTTTTTGTCTGCCTCATCTCCCTATTAAAAGCTAAACTAAATTGAAATAAAACTATCCAAAAGTAATACTATAATGTCAAAGTATAGGGGATAAAAATAGGCGGGAAGGAAAAATTTATACAGTAACAACAATAAGAAGCCTAAATCAGAATGGATGCTCTTTTTTTTTTAAGGAAAGATGGGAGCCTGCCCAAGTAATAGTATCACTTTAGATGTGATATTATTTAAGAACTATAAACAGACATTTTAAATTTATTTTTCTAAGAAATAATACTTAGACTCCAGACTTGGAGCTCATATTACTTTTCTTCCTGTATCTTCTTAATAAATCTGTTGAAAACACCTGCAGCCGTAAAGGTAGGTAAAGGAAAGATGGGAGCCTGCCCAGGTAATAGTATCACTTTAGATGTGATATTATTTAAGAACTATAAACAGACACTTTAAATTTATTTTTCTAAGAAATAATACTTAGACTCCAGACTTGGAGCTCATATTACTTTTTAAGGAAAGATGGGAGCCTGCCCAAGTAATAGTATCACTTTAGATGTGATATTATTTAAGAACTATAAACAGACATTTTAAATTTATTTTTCTAAGAAATAATACTTAGACTCCAGACTTGGAGCTCATATTACTTTTCTTCCTGTATCTTCTTAATAAATCTGTTGAAAACACCTGCAGCCGTAAAGGTAGGTGATGTAGGTGGGGTTTTCAGATGATTTCTTTGTAAATTGCTGGAACTGACAACCAGCAGCAGTTAGGGGTGAGTGTTCTTGAGCTGTAGAGTCTCATAACCTTGGCTATCACATCACTAAAGCAAACAGATGAATACTATTTTTCTAAAAATTAAATAATCATTGTACATGTCTCGAACTATATATAGTTGAAATAGCCAGATGATGTGTCTTATGTAATGAAAGATTTTCTCCTTGAAGTAAGCAACAAAAGTGTTCTGAGTTAATGAAATAGAGGTTGAATGGGAGTGGTGAGTTAATGACGGGCACCCCGTGTTTCACTGGCCCTTTGTGTCAGGGTATTTATATACACACATTTGGTGATAAGTTTAAAAACCCTCCTTTTACAAAAAGGGCTAGAAAACAGCTTTCCATTTCCTGGGCAGAGGCAAGGGTGATGGTGTTGGCCAGTTCTTCTTATAGTGATGGTTTCTCATCTAACTGTGTTTATGGCACTGCTGCTTTATTTACTGAACCTAGTGTGTTGCAGCGGTAATTAACCCATGTTATTAGCAAAGCCCTTGTGGATATCCATTAATTCTCTTGCATGGATGATCATTTTTCTAGTGTTTTCCCCCAATAAGGTATCATTGGTATTTTTTTTTTTTAATTCTAAATTGACGGCCTTTGATATATTTCTTTGGTTTAATCTGACCTGTGATATATATTGGCCATCTTATGAAGGACGCTATTGTAATTCAGCTTTTAAAAATGCTAATAGAAGCAGGAGAAAAGATTTTTTGTTGTTCTTTTCAAAGTAAACAAAAAGAAAAGAAATTAATGTTTAAAAAGAAAATAATACAGGCAATCAGTTTTAACTCCAAATTTTCCAGATCTTAGAGTTTATGACAATTTGTGTCTTTAATGTCTTTCAATCAATTTTTTACTTAGTTAGTAACACTTTAGGCATTTTTGTAAAATATTGAGCCAGCAGAAAAATACTTGTGCTTCCAGTGCTGAGAAAAGATAAGGACTATCTCATTAGCCGGGCCATACTTTTGCAATTAATTTTAGATACCTGGTGCTATTCATCAAAGAGGGCTGCTAACTTCTCTATGATTCTATTTAACAATACTTTCACAATACCTCACTCCTGCAAGAATTACAGACAAAGAAGAGACCGTTCTTTTGGAAGGTAGGCATAATGCCCAATCTCAAGTCAGTATCACTTGTGCAAAATTCCTCAACATTCGTTTTAGTGTAGTGACTAAACAAAATATTTCTTTGTTTTGTCTGTAAAGTGATGTTCAGCAGTGAAGGTTTTGCTTTATATTATTTAATAAAATAAATTAAAATACATGCTTGTGATTGATACTTTTTCATACAAGTGGCAACTAATAGCAATGATTTTGATTAAACCAATTAATATCAAATAAACTTTTTGGAATCACCTATCAAGCATTTAGAAATAAGAGCATTTGAGGTATCGTAATAGAAGTTTAAGTCACTGCAGCAGATAAGCTTTGCTCTGGATTTTCTTCATAGCAAATTCATGGATGAGGGAAACAACGCAATGTTGATCTGTTATAAGTGCATATGAGCTCCGGCCCTAGCCAGCTCTCTGGAGAAAATCTTTGATTACACTAGCCCAGTTTGTTCAGTTTTTATCTCTTTTACATCCACTGGCCTTGTATTAAATTGTCATTGTCCTAAAGCACATGAGATAGAAATGAATTGCACTTCTCTACGTTCTCTGACAGTGAAATATTTAGCCTCTCTTTCTCCAATCATAGTCATGTGTATATTTGATAGTGCTGGACGATGCCAAGCATCTCTGCCGCTTGACAATCTTCTTATTGCGTTTTGTATGTTTTGGTGTTGATTATTATTTTCATAGCCATGCCTATTAATATAATTAATAATGGTATACATGATCTGTACCATAATTTGTTAATAATCTATATAATTATTAATAAATAAATGCACATATGGTACTTTAAAATCCAAAGCAGTTGATAGGATACATATCCACTATGTGTGCATGTATAATAGCATGTGAAATACATATATATAATATATATATATATATATATATATGAGAAGAGGTATATATGCAGAATACAGGTATGTTGTTAAGATTATTCATGTACATTTATAAAATAAAGTAGATCTCAAGTATTGTTCTAATCGGTTAGTTGCCAGTTAAATTTAACAGGCATGATTTTAAGCTGAAATTGCTATTTCAGGAATTTACCATGTTTGATTTAAAACTGAATTAATTTAACTACCATATATTAGACAGGTAACAGGTAACTTAACAAGTAAATTTATTTCTGATTTAAAAGATTTTAAATTATTGTCATTCATATATTCAATATCTAGTAATCATAAATAATTTGTAAAATAGGAAATAAACTACTGATGTTAAATGCATAATTTAATGGTTTGGGCCTATATCCAAGAAACAATTTTGAATTAGCTCTTGGCTGCATTCTTTTCTTATACAATTGGGCCTGACAAATATATCTTAATGTAAAGCATGGTAACTTTCAAACTGATGCAAAATTTGAATTTTACCTATCTGCACTACATAAATACGTCATTTGCTTTTTTTTGCTAAAAGCAAATACGTAAAATTGTTAAGTACATCATAGATTTCAGAATTATTTACTTTCAAACTGATGCAAAATTTGAATTTTACCTATCTGCACTACATAAATACGTCATTTGCTTTTTTTTTTTTTTTTGCTAAAAGCAAATACGTAAAATTGTTAAGTACATCATAGATTTCAGAATTATTTAAGTTTAGAAGTCTGTGATTTTACTAAGGAAATCTGAAAAGTGTTGAGAGAAAACACAAACAATTGCTCTTTCTATTTTAATTCTTATTCTAATTCATAAATTGCTCTATTTTAATTCTTGTTTTAATTCATATTCTTGTTTAAATTCTTGGATTAATTTCTTACCTTTATTTGTTTGCATAACACTTTAACAAATTTACTGTTACTGTGTTTAATAAAAAAATCCTGCTAACTGCTTCTTTATGCCGATCCATCAGATCAAAGTTAGGTCCTTTATTATCTGAGGGTGGTAAATGACAGTCTTCTGCTTTTTGAAGGACTTACCTAGCCCTTTATTTTTGTTTCAAGTTCATCTTAGACTTATACTTTTTAAAGTCTGGGAAACCTCAGCTAATAAAAATAACTTCCACTCAGAGTTTTAACAAACATCTTTTTTTCTTCCACTTATTCTTTGCAGAAGTGCCAGATGTTTCTTTTTCTCTGATTTGGACAATATTTTTTAGTAATTTGCAAATGTGTTTTGTAGTCAATTATCCAAAACCACTGAATGAAAAGGATTTAGATTTTGTGTTTGTTATATATGTGTATGTACATACATACATTCCCTCCTTATAATTTTTAGAAAATATTTTTAAGTGTTTTGATATTTTTCAAATAATATGTCATTTTAATTTGTGGCAATGCATGCATATTTGGATGGTAACTCACTAAGGCAAAGCAATGAAAGAGAAGGTCCAGTTTTAAAGAAATTGTCTTCTAGCTGGTCAACCACAGTCCATTTCAATATACTGGCACATATAGTTCTATGTGTGTAATTGACTATAGGTATACATAACACAATCTATGGCTATAGGAATTTTTTTATACAATATGGTAAATGAAAATACTAGGTTTTGGCATTTAAAATCTATTAAATAGTTATTAAAGTGTTCACACTCATGGGGAGCCTACTTAAGATTAGATTGCATCCTTTAAAAAGAACTAAAAAGTAAATTTATGTTTTAATTATAAAAAGCAGTCTGTGTCATAGATATTCCTCTGTGCCTTCTCATATTGCTTTGAATGAAACAAAATTGCATATATATTTTTTATTATTTCGACGGGAAGTACACATTATATGTAACATACTTTGGCAGCACTTACCTAGCCAAAGAACACAAATTAATACAGGGCATATCTGAGGGCTGTCAGGCATATCACAGACATGTCAATTTAAGTTTGCTTCATCATGCACCTTCTCCGCAAACAGTGGGTTAAGATGGTACTAAATAAAAGGGAAACTACTAATAAATTCTCAGATTATGTCAGAGACTGATGGCTAATGTAAATGTAATGAAAACTTACTTCTCTTTAAAAACTAACTGCAGGAATACAAATAGCACAGATAATAATGAGTTGCTTTTTGTTTCTGTTTTTGTTTTTAAAGGAGCATAACTTAAACTCATTCAAATCTTCCTACTATTTTGGAAGTAAAATAGAGTTTTAAAAAAGTCTGAAGTGGAGAACCTCAGTTGCTCTTATTTGTGACGTAAATGAAAACTTAAGTAGAGGATCAAGAGCGTGGACAATCCACTTTTAACAGGGACATTTCTTTTTGTTGCAGTTGGCATACATTTTCTGGGAAAGAAAAAAATCTTGTGCTTTCTTTCTGTATGGCTTATGCAATATGCAAAAAATGAAATTTAAAAAATGTAACTCAAGAGCTTACGCATGGAAATTAGGCAGAAGCACCCTACGCTCTTTTTTCCCTCCAGGATCAGAATGAAATCTTTGTAAATTATAATTGTCTTTTCCTCTACTCTAGAAAGATTGTACTCATGCTTAATAGGGTTTGAGAGTTTAAGCAAAGGATTTGTTAAGTAAATATATTTCCTTTCCTTTTAATACTCTAAGTGTAAGTTAAAATGTTTTAAAAGGTATACTTTTCAAGTCAGTTAATATGTAGCAATATTTATAATTTATTGTGCTTTGAAGAGAATAGTGAAAGCATATTAATCATATATCCAAAATTACATCCAGAGTTAGCAAAAATAATGATCCTATGAAAAATTATAGAGACTGAGTTACTTGTTTAAGAGAAAAAATTCAAACGTAAGGTTGTTCGATCGATTGCCCTTTGCCCTCCATAATTCCAAATTATCATAGTACTTTTTAACCTCTTCAAAAATGTAAGATGGCCATTTTAAATTGTATTCATATTTCCATAAATGAAAGGATATTCTGACAATGCTTTCTTTATACGCATTAATTTATTAAAATAGACCGGATTTTTTGAGGAGGAATATTGTACCTGTTACCAACTGTTCATGACCAAAGAAAGGGAAAGATGTCATGCCTTTTTTTTTTCCTATGACAGAGTGACTGTATACAGTTGGCGCTGGGTCCTGTGAAATGACAGAAGCATCCCTTTTGTCCATAGACTTGAATGAGAGCTGCCTCCTCAGTCATGGGATCATAGTGTCACATATGGAAAAGCAACCATCAACTGAATTGTACTGAATTATACTAAATTATACTGCACACTTGGTCAGTTCATCTTATACTCTACACATCTAAAGGAAGGCTCGTTCTGTTCTTGGGGTCTAGACAGCATCAGGAGCTGGGCTCAGGTGCAAGCATGTGGCTGCCTTTTTCTATTCTCTCCTAGCCATTCAGCAAAGGGAGCTGAGGACCAAATGGCACTTTGTGCACAGAAGCTCAAGCGGAGATTCCTTTCTAAGGAATCTTGGTTGTTCAAGTTATTTCAGATTCCTTGCCTGTTCTGGAAATGTCATTGTTGTCTTTCATGTTCCAAAGTACTACTCATAAATGATTAGGTGTGTCTCTCAGCCCGTATGAACCATTAGCTGGTTTAAGCATTTTTTAATAGATAGAAATGGAGAAACATAATTTATTTATGTCAATTTGGATGATGATTCTTTTTTCATACCTTTATATTGAACTACTCAGTTGGTTAAGTCTGAAGAACACAGAAAATGATGAGGTTAAAAACTCAAATTGTATTTTTTTTTATTTCTTTATTTCCTTATAGTGAACAAAACTTTATTGTCTAGAGCATTTATGAGGGTTTTAATGATTGGAAAATCTATCCTGAGAATGTGGTCACCATATGTGACAGCCTTGCTTTCTATCTTGTCTTCAGTTTATGGGGTAAGTTTGGTGATACTGTCTATTGTCTTACTTTGCTTACGTTACGGAATCTCTCTGTCTCCACATTGAGATAGCCTGAAATGTGGAGGAAATGCCTGCTCAGTTCTAAAACACTTTTCTGAACACCTTCCCCCTCCTCAATTCCAGCTGTATTTTCTTTTTAAAATTTCTTTTCCTATCATCTGTTTTGCTAAAGGATCATTTACTTCGGTAAAAGGTAAGTATATGATAATCATCCATATTTGCAAATACAGTACACTTTATTTTCCCTCTGAATTCCAAAGAGATTGCCTTCAACTTTTCATATTTGTTTTTCTTTTGTTTCTGTTTGTTGTGCATTCTAGTTGAGTGCTTATCATCCATATTTGCAAATACAGTACACTTTATTTTCCCTCTGAATTCCAAAGAGATTGCTTTCAACTTTTCATATTTGTTTTTCTTTTGTTTCTGTTTGTTGTGCATTCTAGTTGAGTGCTTTTATAGTGTTTTCTTGATTGTTGTCAGTTTGGGATACATGCTGCTGACATTTTTGTTAGGTTAATGTCACAGCAGAAAAACCTATGGCAAACTGGAATCTGGCTATAGTGCATAGAAGATACAACTTATGTTTGATTGTGTGTAAATACAGTTAGTTAGCTGGGGGTTTATCAGATAGCTTGGCAGAAAGAGAGAGGAGGAGTACAAACTGTTTTCAGTAACTGTGCTGTTCATACACCTGATAAGATTGAGAAAGCTTTTCGAAATGCTGATAGGCTTTGAATAAGGAAAGAATAATCACTTCTACTGGCACCAGCTTATCGGGAATGAAGTAAAATGCCAACACTTTTACATTAGCAAAAGTAAATGTTTTAGACACTCTGTGCCTTTTTTCATTCAAGTTAAACAGGAGGGGTGCTTTTGAGAGTGCTGTAATGAATAGAAGGATTTATTACCTAGACCAAATTACAGGTGACTATGTTGATAAAGGAACCTTCAGCATCAACAGCAGCTTCTTTGATAAGCAGGTACATCTATGCTGCACATTCTCTGGAGAAATTAAATATTCCTTTTTCCACTCCAATTCTATTAAACATCATTTCTGATGTTAGAAGATGCAGTTATGTCCTATGTCAATTGAGTCTCCTTGTTTTTCCAGCAGATGGGTGACAAGCATTTGAAACTTAGCTTATCAGACTTTTAAAATGCTGGTGTGCGGTTAAGTTAGGGCACCTGTAAGTTTATATCAGTTGTGCTGAACCAGCAAACTCCTTTAAATTAAATCTTTTTTTTCAAGAATGGAATGAGATTAATTATCAATTTAGGATACTGTAATGAGAAGATAAATGTATTTGTCCAAGTAATAGTCCATTATAAAGCACCTCCCCTTTAAAAAAGAGATATTGGTTTTGCTCTTCAATATAAACCATTAACTTTCCCAGTTCTACCATGTTCTCTTCTTTGTAATTTGATCCCTACAAATAATTTGGCGTATTCAGATTTGATAAATGATAGTGCAAGAGCAGATTGATTGATTTCGGATTACTATTGATTACTCTCAATGAGATCACTGTGACACACTCAAATCAATAGTGTTCGATTAAGCAAGGCACCACCGTTCTATACATCCAGCAGCAGTGGGGAATTCAGGAACAGAATGTTCACAAGCTGATAAATTGACAAAGCGTTCAGCTTTAAATAGCCCTTTGTTCAGCACTAGTTCCTTAAAATATATTTCATTGGAAAGTTCGTTTTTGCAACTCAGGGCCTTTCTGTGAAAAAAGGTCATCAGTTTAAGGTTTATTAAATTTTAACTAAAAACAACTGGGCTCCATTTAGGTGTAAAATAGTTTAAGTACTTACTGCAGGCAACCTTTATGCTTTTGAGCTATTGCTCAAAGGTTTCATTCTTTTATGAAGATGTCAATTGTAAACATAAAAACGCATCGCTGGAAATGTAATGGTTTAAGATTCAAACTGAAATAAAAATTCCTGCCCGAAGAAAGCACTGTAATCAGAATAAGGTGGTCTTAACTTTCTTCAGGAGTGGGACATGCTTAGGAGCAGCGCTCGAAGGTGGCAGCAGGTAGCACACCTTGATCGAGCAAGTGCACAGCTTCTGCTTATTTCTTTCCTTATCTGAAGGTATTCATCAGGTCGCCAGCACTACATGCAAAACACTAAGTATCATTTGATCTGAAAGCTGCTACTACTGCTGATACACTGAAATCTTTCTATACTAAGCAAACTTACAAAGTCGCTGGGGAAAAAAATCATCCACATTTTCAAGTCTTCAAGTCAAGGACCTCGAGAATAAGATTTTTCTCTCATGTTCCATCAAGGTGCAGTCTTGGCACTTGGAATGAAGCATTTGCTTTTGTATCATATGGCATTGCTAAGTTACTCCTCACGAAGTTGAGCATCACAGTAAACACTCCATTGAATATGTAAATGTTCTTATGTGCAAAACTTGATTTCAAATGAAATTTTGACTATTAGAGGCCTGCACACCCAAGGCCTTAATAGGTTCAAGTCTTAAAATATACTTAGATAAGTACTCTCATTTTGTTATTAATTAAAACAACAATGACAATAACAACAAAACTAGAGGTGGCTTTTTGAGGGAAAATCAGTAGGAAAATCTAGTTTGGAATCATGAAATTCTCTAACCAAACATCAGGCTAAGAAAAAAGTGATTAACTTAAAGAAACATTAGTCTTTTTTGTATGAAAGTAAGGTAATGAGAGTTTAATTATATTAGATTGAACCAAATGAAATTGCCATTTTTGCAGGTCAAAAAATGGTCAAATATCAGCAATTGCATATGATTCAATGCAATAATTGAATTTATTTCTATACTGTTCATATTCCATGATCAAATTGAATGTGACAACTGTTTGTTATTTTATGGTGGTCTTTATCAAATTATGGGAAACATGAATTCTATCTATAATTATGGCAAGTATATTATAACATCATTTTTAGTAGCTTTTTTTTTTCTTTAACACCATTAGAGAGTTGCCAAGTATAGATGCATTGTACACACTGAAAAAGTGTGCATTTATCTGGTATCTCTCCTGTGGGAGCTAAGCTGCTTCTGAGAAGCCATGTAAATTTTTCATCTCCTGGGAAAGACCACACCACAAACAAGAGAGGAACATCTTCGTGTCAGGAAACAGTACTGATCCCCCAAAAGAGCACACTGCTAAGGGTAAACAGTCTGAAAGCAAACTGGGGAAAAGATGCTGACACCTCAGGTATTTGATCCTCACATTCACTAATTAAGAGAACCTTAACCAACTAGTTTGCGCTTTCCACGCTCCCCCAAGAGAAGTGCTAAAACTGTGCGCCATAGAATCTGCGCCCCACTCGGAGCGGGCAGATGCAGAGTCCTCCGAGTTGGCAGTGGCGACTGCAATGCTTTATTGGCTACTGCAGTTAGGAAAGGTGCTTCAGGAGATGTAATAAAATGATCCCAGAGCCACCATCTGACCCCCCCGATGTGCAGCTCATATTGGCCAGTAGGGGCTTTCTGTGTCCAGTGCGAGCAGAACCTGGCTGCCAGGTAGGGAAGAAATTAGCACTGTCTGCAGGTAGGAGGGAGGGGCTCTGGTGCCAGGCTGGAAATGTCAGCACAAAGTGCATCTTGACTTAGGGTCATGTCATGACTGGGCGAATGTCCCTCACTCTGGGTAGGCACAGGACAGCTTACATCTTGTTCCTGAGAAATTCTATGAATAGAGAAGTTAGCCATAGAGTATTTTAAAACAATAATTATGTATGTTTTAAGTACAGATTCATTTGGTAAGGATTTAAAGTAGTGACTCAAATGTACACCTAATTAAAATAACTTTTTTTTTTTAGCTTATTTACATCCATTTTAGCAAAAGACATGAAAAGCTCAGGAATATAAATAACCCAATGGGATTCAGTTTTTCTTCCAAAAAAAAAAAAGCAATTGTTTGCACGTGTTGTAGGGTGGCAAACTTGGGACATCAGAGCCTTCTTTGCAAGTGAGAGGCAAGATTTTGTGGCGTCTGCTTCTCCTGCATTACAGACCCCAATCGGGCTTTGTGTCCAGCTCTGTACAGTAGCTTTTGTTCAGCTTCTCAGTTAGGGGTATTTTTCTGAGCAGCATGTGCCCCAGCCCATCAGCAGGCTGCTAGTCAGCAGCAGGTGTGAACAACATAAAACAGGATTAACACTGAACCAAAGTGTGTACTAAAAACAGAACCCCTGCCTTGCTTTTAAAAGGGTGGCAGGACTGGAAGACAGAAACCACTTTGGACCTGTGCTCTCCCTGTTTACTAAACAGTGTTCAATGGGCTATGTAAGTGGCTCTGTTTAGGTGCAGAGAAGGCAAGCGAGGGAGCATGTATTCATTCTCTCTCTAAAAACTATAAACTCAAAACTTACATAGAAAATTCCTCTAAGACTTTCAGAGGGGAAAAACAAAACAAAACAAAAAATGTCTGGGTAAATCTTGAACCAGAATTACAGGTTATTATTGAATAATTCTTTCCTTACTTACAAATTAAAAGTTGGTAGTCATTTGATGTGCTGTATTTCTCGCCTCTAAAAAATATTATTGGTTGATTTGTTCTAAGATTTTTTTTTTATTTAATTATGTGACAATTCATATTTTTACCTTGATAGGTAAACTACAAGTAAGTCATTTCTTTAGAGATTATACATCTGCCCCCCCCCCATTTTTTTAAATCAGTATTACCTACAATGAGAAAGCTGGGGAAAAATAATCATAGTTAATATAGGGGACTGCATGAGTTTAGCAGTGGGATATCACAATGAATTTATGGCATATGAGTCACTTTGTAAATATTTTCTTTAGGAAAGAGAAAAGTGGCATTTAAAAATATGTTTCTCTTTTTAAGTTTCTCTTTTGATTCTAGTGTACACTATACAAATATATTACATTAAAATTTGGATGTCTGTTTTCTTTGCTAGGTTTGTTACTTACTAGACTAACTTGTACTTTGAAACTTCAGGACATGGTTACGTTACAT